CTCTCTCTCTCTCTCTCTCTCTCTCTCTCTCTCTCTCTCTCTCTCTCCTCCCCTACCCTCCCCACTCTCTCAAAAATGGTAAGTTACCCTAAATATATTTCAATTACATTAATAATCTCAAATATATTATTTTTAAATTTTCATTCACTTTTTACAGAAATAACTGGAAGAGGGGCGGAAGGGGAGGAGGAAGATGAGGAGGAGGAGGATGGGGTGAGGGGGGAATGTATACGTTTTTCAAAGGAGTTAAATAAACTTATTGACTTTAGAAAAGAAGAAGAACGAAATATCGACTGTAAATATCGACTAGACTCTGCCGAATAAGCGAGACTTTCAATATTACATTTGTGACATTTTTCTGATTGCAATGATATTTACAATAATTTTTCTTCTACCTTACCTTACCAGCATCATATTTTGAACAGCAGAAATTGTATTCAGCTCCCCTACTGGCTAAACGTTTTACTTAATTTACTTCTTCTAGTGGCCGCTCGGTTTTTATGTCGCGTCGATATTTTCGGCAACGGAGTCCACTCCCTTAATTAATTGCCTTAAATATTCAATGTCACTTTGTTTTCAAGATATTCACTGTCCGACGTTTTCAACTGAAGTGACGTACGATCCTGACGGCGTTCGCGACGACACCTCTAGGTCCCCTTTGCCCAGCCCTCTTGAAGCCCCCCCCCCCCCCCGGGGGGGGGGGGGGGCATTGCCTGCGTTTGGAGGTCCTCGAAGACTTGTCGATATCTCCGAAATTTCCTTTACGATCGAAGGAACCGTTACTTCTAATACTTCTAACTGAGTATTCATTAAATAATTTTGTACTAATTTGCTACGATGACAACTACACACAACTTTATACAATTTCTGCTTAAGGGGTTAGTCGAAGTCAGGAAGAGAAAAAACGACATTTCTTCGTGATTTTTTTTTAGTTATTGTTACGTATACAGAAACTCTCCGTTTTTTAGAAGCTCGCGTTCATTAATTTTATTTTATCTACCCTTCTGGATTTTGGAGCTCGGTCTCACCGAAGTGCATCCTGCGGGGCATCCGACATTTTTGCAAAGGAAATTGTTGTTCAGAATCGTCTCAGCTACCCCCCATTTCCGGCTTCTCCCCGACTTTTGGGACACCCTGTTGTAGATCCGCGAAGACGGTTTTAAAATCTATTACGGCCATAAAAGTACTCTCGACCCCCGCATCGCCAGTGCGTTAACACCGCGCAACACTTAGGTAGTCTTAACTTCATACAGTAACTGCGACAACACGACACTGCACACTTGTAATTAGTATAGTTATTTTGGAATATATATTCTTTGTGTAAACTTAAAAGTCTGTAAGATCAATCATCAAATATTTACTTTGAAATCACCAATCCTAGCCAATGTAACGATCCCACAACATAATAACTTTACCGCTCGAGTTATTATTCTATTAAATTAACAAGTTGCGAGGCTTTATTAACGACGCGTGTTACATTTTAACGATACGATTTAGTCATTGTGTACTCAACCCGAACTCCTAAACTTAACCTATCCTGCGGTTACCCTTTACTGGGAGATACCGATTCCTGCTAGCTATCTGATTTCGCGCCAGAGTCGCTGCACTTTTTCTAACAACTTCACAGTTCGAAGCTTACCCTACGGTTACCCTTTACTGGGAGATACCGATTCCTGCAGTTACCTGACTTCGCGTCAGAGGCGTCTGCATTATCTACTCTATCCTCAAATCTTTGGCTCCATTGATAAATACTAATTAATCGTATCGGTGCAATTATCGACTCCACCCCACTCGCAGGGCTCACACGCGCGTCGCTATCGCCCTGGCTCGTAACATTATTCAATAATAATTTGCATAAGTAACAATTAAGTATATTACAAAGCATGTTTTAAAGAATTAAAAAACATTTCTTGTATTAAGAATCGTTTAATTTATATTGTCATAACAGCCGATGACGTAGCCGATGATTTAAAAACATAGGTTTGCGGTGAGTAAAATTTCTCTACACTGGTTTACCTGAAAACAAAAACAAAGGTAAATTTCGAAAATAGATTAGTCTAGCGAGTCCCTGAACGAAGTATTTTCGAAAAAATGAATTTAAAACAAGATGGCCTACATTTGAAGTTGATTTTCAATTATTTCACTAAAATTAAGCGATTCAATACAGGATAAAAAAAAGTATACAAGAAAATAAAAAATCCTTCGTTCAGCGACCCGTTAGTCTAATGTTACGTCCTAGCTTATCTGAGACTCTTTCTTGGGATCTTTGTCTTCAATTAAAGAGCTAAAGCTCACCTTAACTGTATTCGCTAACGGGAAAGAGCAATTCGGGCAATTGCAATGATTGTTTCCAAGGTTTAGCATATAAATATATATTGTTACAAAACAACGAGTTTATATTACAATATCGGTTTTGGGAAATCAAGTATACAATTAGTCAGGTACGTTAGCGCTTGTCGGTCTTACAGTTTGGTTGTACCAGCTATCTGTTGTGGTCCCAGGGCTGTGCTGGTGCAAGGATCTGTTTGTCGGCAACTATCACTCGCGACACGGGTCTCTACTAATTAACAACGGACTTTCCTCGGTAACGACGCGGCGCGCGTACGATTACTCTATCCGTGACTACAATAATTAAGTATTTGATGACCAAAGCGCGACGCTGAGTGCGTGTTCGATTGATGATAAAGGTTCGATGTGATCTTAACCGATTATATGTCGGACTTTCGTAGGTAACGACAACGCGTGAAGTTAACCTGTCCGCGACTACAAGATTTCGGTAATCACCACGATGATAACGTACTGACAGCGGAATAAAAAGAGCCACCGTGGGGCGTGTCCACGGGTTTATATACTAGGTGATCCTCGCATGGCACGAGCCGCGTTCGAGAACCTTCGTTTTTGCATCCGTTGAAATCGGGAGGGGTCCCAAGTTCAGCGGATGTGCTGGCGTTGAGTGCTGACGCCTATTTCGCTGATTCGCAGATCCCACGATTCGGTTCCCGAGAAACGGTTTCCGAATCGTATGTCAAGCGCATTCCTAAAAGTATCTGATCTTAACTATTCGCAATGCGAGGTCGATGAAAAGGGACACCGGCAGGGCCGGATGTAACACTAATATATTTTCTAAATCTATTTTTAGTTTTGTTTTCAGGTGCACCAGTTTGAAGAAATCTTGCTCACCCCAAAGCAAGTGGTCACCCACGCCATTGCCTGTTATGACGAAATGAATTAACCTTTTCTTAAAACAAAAATTTTTTTATAATTCTTTAAGAGATACTTTGTAATATATGTATTTACATTTCATTAATAAAAATTATTATTTAATACTTTAAAAAAAACACACACACAAGAAACTGTTCGTTTCCATTTTACTGACTGCGACTGACCCCTTAAACTTCAAACAGTCTAGATCAAACTTTTCATTCATTATTTTCCAAACGAATTTTCCAACATCATCGTTTGTCCCGATACAGGCACGAGACCGGGCTCAAATGATGGGGGCTAATGGGCATAAAAAAAGTGCAAAACGTTAGGGATATCTGGCCAGCCAATTTTATAAAAAATGGCTTTAAACATTTACAGACCACTAGAATCTAGATATACGAAAACATTGAAGTTCTTAACAAAAGCTGTTGTAGGTGCGGGCGTTACGT